TGTTGCAATTCTAGAAATGGGTCCTGTTCATAATATAAATATAGTACCAAATCGATCCCTGATTTCTTAATGAGTGATTACCGTATTTTCCGGCTTACAAGACGCATATTTTTTTCATAAATAATACCCTGAAAAATAAGTGTGTTTCCCAAGACGAATGTAAAGCAACGCCCAGGTTCAAGTAAGTTTGGACGGTCACCGAATTGGCTTGACTGATAGGAACGTGTCTTTGTATGTTAAGTCATTACACTATAATCTTAGCTATCTATTTAATGCAGCGTTTTATATGATAAAGTACTTAGCTGTTAAAGTATTTACAGGAATATAAACCTTCCTGGAGCCGAGCCACAAACTTAAACAATTAGATTATTATTATTATTATTATTATTATTATTATTATTATTATTAAGTGCCTATTTGCCAAGTCCCTTCCGGACTCTATAAGTAAAAATGGCGCTGAAGGTGAGGTGTTTACGCACATTTTGGCTGTTTTGTTTAAATAGTTTTGTAGATGATATGTGCAGTTCAGCGAAGAGTAATTTTGTTGCTATGGAATGCTGATAAGTCGAGAAATTTGACTCACATCAATTTTCCTGTCTGCGAGGATTGGAAAATTCCAGAATATAGTCATTCCATCATCATTTCTGACATCATTCGGGTAGAGTTTGTATCGTGTATTCAGGACTTCAATACTATAGTTCGAACAGACATGCCAATGAATATATTTCCATAGCCTGCCATGTCTAATAATGTGTTTTTTTTTTCTCAGCAAGCAGTGGACACCATGATATTATTTTTATCATTATTAGTAGTAGCTGTAGTATTAGTTATGGTGCTGGTGGTGGTGGGGGGGGTGGTATTGGTGGATGGTATTATCTGGGCATGAAAATATTTGGGCACTTTAAAAAATCAATTTGATAGCACTATTTTTCTTTAAAATGATTTGTTAATTCATAATATCTCTTTATTACAAACATAACTGAAATTACTGAAATATATTATGATACTAATTACTATTTCGAAGTTATCGTACATTTTTGTTGAAAATTAACCTTGACCAATGTGAATAATGATAATAACAACGATATTGCAAAATAAATTGATGAGGTGTAGAATTAATTTCGGCGTCATCCTCCGCGACACGAATGAGTCCGAACTTTTATTGTCGATACACCCAAAACAGTAGATTTTATCAAAATTTCTTATATTTTCGATAATTTCTTTCGATATTTTTTTTCGATATTTTTCGATAATTTCTTTCGACAATTTCTTATATTTTCGATAATTTCTGATATTTTCGAATTAAGTATGTATATTTATATCTACATGGAACTATTCGGGAATTTTTTATTAGAAACTGAGCGCGGGGATTGAAATATAAATTACTCTTTTGAGATTCCAAGTTTACGTTAGTTCTTTTCTCTCATGGTAACGTACCTCCCATCAGCGAATTAATACGCCAACAAAGACTTGCTGGTCACTGTTGGCGTAGCAAAAAAGAACTAGCTGGAGACGTTCTACTCTGGATACCATGCCATGGAAAAAGAACACACGGTTGACCAAAGATGTATATTGACCATCTGGTTGAAGACATCGGACCCGGACTGGATGAGCTTCCAAATGCAATGAATAATAATTTCTTTCGACAAATTTCTTATATTTTCGAATAAAGCATCTATATTTACATCTAAATTCGGGGATTTTTTATTAGAAACTAATCGCGATGATTGAAATACAAATTACTCTTTTGAGGTTCCGAATTGAAATTAATTGATTTACTGAATTATTCATGTCATTTATTTCAATTTGGAATAATAACATTTCTGGAACAAATTATTAGTTTTGTATAACTTGGCTCTAATGACGTTTTACCAGGTTCCTAATACTGTGCTAAGGAATCGTTTTACTATAATTATAATTCTTGATCACTTACCTGATATAGGTTACATCAGCTAGTGTACATAGCTTGGTAGCTAGCTAGTTCACATATACAGTGAGTTCGATCCACAGACAATGACCCACGCTCGTCTTGCAAATTGGTGCAGCAATTTTGAGCATTACCAGATAATGAATATCAGCAAATGTTTATATCTACTTAATAATTTTTCCACCAATGATCAACAGGTAAGGTTGTGAGGAAATATCATGTTTATATTGGCAAACAGTCAGTATTTTAGGCACACACCGACTGATGGCTGCCGTCTCCCTGACATTTTCTAGCAGTGCAATCTGTTCGTTATGTTTGCAATTAGCCAATTTTTATGCACTGGGGCCGGAGGACCAGAGGTTTCGGTTTGCTCACAGACTGTAAAGCAACAAATCTTAATTGGCCAAACATACGTTCGCATCAGACTTTCTTTTTTAAAATTCATCACACACACACATATATATATATATATATATATATATATATATATAGAGAGAGAGAGAGAGATAGATAGATAGATAGATAGATAGATAGATAGATAGATTATAAAATGGACAAAGTGCGACAATTATTTTAAGACGTTTACCTGCTTGAATGTCCGAGAAATTGTCATAGAAAATATGCGTCCTAAAATAAAGTCTTAAAATAATTGTCGGGCTTTGTACATCTCATAATATGGGACGTACTTTGTTTACCTTTGGATACGCATCGAGCAGATATGAATGTACATGAGAGAATAATGGAAAATTTAAAAACAGTAAAATCAACCTTACTGACCGAAATGCTCCTCTGTGGCGAAATCGGTAAAACCACTTATGGCTATATGACGGTTCCTATTAGGATACAGGTTCGATTTCTGTCGGAGGATGCATATTTTCTATGAGAATTTCTCGGAAATTCAGGCCGGCAAATGATTTTAATACTGTTTATTATAAACAGAGCATTTACTTAAATATTTGTATCTATAAAAAAGAATGTATAAACATAAAAATGCCTTATAAACACACACATATATATATATATATATATATATATATATATATATGGTAATGATACAATATGTTAAACCGTATGAAATTTCCAGCAGGATATAGATCCAGGGAGAGTTCTATGTCATAAGATAGAGCATAATTAATATTAATTAAAGAATATCAAACAATTAAAATCTTCGAGGTAATAATTTTTATTTCATGAGAGCTCTAAAAAAAGCAGCTCTCAATATTCAAGACGTACAATCAAATCACAAATGAAATGGAAAAAAAATGCTCCGGGCTAAAATCAAGAGATAATGTTATCTTATTTAGCGAGTGGGAAAGATATATAAAGACTTTTTTTTTCTTTTTTTTTTTACCTCGAGTGTGGCTGTGTGTAAAAAACCTAGATAATACAATTTGTAAATAAAAGATATTTGACAAACCGATATCAGGATAAGAAAATCAAGAAAAAAAGAAAAGACTAAAAACATCCGTACTGCTTGAAAGTAATCAATCAGCACTGAAATATTTAGCTAAAAGAAAAAAGAATGACCGATTTACCTAAATTAAAACATAAAAATTCTCAATACACGAAGTAGAGCAAAAAATAGAATACGTAAAAAGTCAAAACTTATCTACCTACGTTTCACCTAACGGATCACCAGGATAATTCTGGATACAGTTATCCTGATGATCCGTTACTCGAAAACTCGGTAGATGGGGTCTGGCTCTTTAGGTATTCTGTTTTTCTCTCTCTCTAATAATATATTAAAATTGTAGTTCAATATAACGTATTTTAACCCAAACACCCCTTTTAGAAAAAATCTTCATGTACACAAGTACGAATTTAACGAAAAAAATACCGAAAACCTTTTTCTCGTTGATAAAGAAAAACAGACGATATGCGTTGAACGGATGTCATAATTCGTTAAAAAGGGCATCGCTACCCTCCCTAAACTTAGCATCTTTTTCGAACGTAACTCATAATTGATACAACAATAGTTAATAAAAATGAACACGCTACAGCCCGTGTCTGAATGATTGGATTTCTCTGTATCCTTGGAAACAAAAAATTATGAATTGTATGTGCGTTTAAAACACAGTAAATTTAAAAATAAGTTTTTCCAAATTTCACGTGAAGATGAAACAGAACTAATGCTTTTATTTTAATTATATAATTAAATTTGAAGTTTTCCGCTTCGGTTTTTGAAACATGGTAATTCCTGTGTAGCGAAGAAGCGATATTTTAAATCAGTTAATTTATAATACATATATATATATATATATGTGTGTGTGTGTGTGTGTGTGTGTGTGTGTGTGTGTGTGTGTGTGTTGCGCGCGCGTCTGTGCGTGTGCGTTTGTATTTAATAAGCCGTTGATTTTGGTTTGACTTTGCTTAGCCATATCAATTTCCATGGGTTATTTAATGCCGAATTTTAAATATTTTGAGCATAGTTTCACGGGTTCAACTACAGATAAAAACGTATTGTTGGTCATTTTGCTATAAAATGTATTTTACTACAAATGTATATCGTTGGTAATTTCTTTTAATAAAATATATAATAATAATATACTGATGTTATTTTACCATAAAAATGTATTTTTATACTTTCATAGTTTTTGGGGGTTTATTACTTGCCTATAGCTAGAACCCTAACAGGTACTGCCACAACAGGTCAGGATGAACCTGGAAACAACAGCAGTTAAGATGTGATTCCACGCTCCTCAAAACATCTAATCTCCCAAACAGAGGCCTTGCTGCCGGATGTAGTTTATCGTCATACCCAGGACTTGGGCCGATTAATGGAATTTCAGGAATAAAATACAACAAAATGATAACAATATTGTCAATAAGATTGTTAATACGTATTTTATATTATTAGGCTTTTTAACTAAACCGAAGTACGAAATGAATTATTTTCATTTTTCAACGAGAAACACACTTCCGGTATATTTTAGTTTTTTTTGGTTTTATTTTTTGTTTTTTCGTTATTTTTTTTCCTTTTTGGTGGATGGGGTTTCTTATGTGTTGTGCTATTTTAAGAAATTTGATTTTGTTCTACTTCTAACCTAAACGAAGTTGATTTTCTAGATGTTACCTTAGATAAATAGATAGATAGATAGATATGTCGGAGTTTTAGGGCAAGATATGAAGTCACATATACAACTAAATGCAGATATAGACATATGGATATGGACAGACGACAGAGAGAGAAAGGTAGACAGATAGATCAATCGACAGATAGGTAGAAACAGAAGAGGAAGTTAATCAAATGTTAACAGAGAAAGAAAATATACATAAAAAAAACCTCGTCTCGCAGATGTGACTCTCAACTGAACGATAACGACTGATGCGATGCAACATATCTATGGTTTCGGTCTAATTTTGTATGTGACATCTTTACCATACGAGCCACATTTTTGACCTTCACTCACACGCTTCGACACAAGCATGTGCACAAACAAGGAGACTATTTATATGCGTTCATTTCAGTCGACCAGTTAATGCAATCTTCCCAAGCGAGACAGACCGAATTTGCGTGCGGTAACAAAAGCGAATAAATAATGTATGGGAAAGAATGGCAGTGAGTGAAAGCGGTAAATCGCTTTTGGTCAAAAGGACATGATTTGTTTTGCCTATCTTCGCGTAGCAATATACAGAAGAGGATTTCATTCAGCTTTGCATATAAATAAAAATCGGTTTGCTCTGAGCATTCGTTCTTCTTTCATTTTCTTCTCTATCCACAAAAACAAAGAAACAAAAAATATCTAACAGTGTCGTTGTTTTTATTTGTGTATTATTATTATTATTGTGTATTTTTATTTGTGTATTCAATATAGCTCTATCGTTCTAATAAATTTTATACCAAAATAGCGGTTAATTATTGAAATATATATATATATATATATATATATATATATATATATATATATATATATATATATATTATAATTTTATAATCTAAACAAAACCATTTTACTCACTACAAAGATGCAGTTTGGTTTCAGTGCATTTCAACTGCACTTCATGTGTTTTTGCTCGAGTATTTATATATACAGGTCAGTGATCCATGGTGTGTAAACTATTGCATGGTCATAATCGTTGTTTTGGTGGGCAGTATCGGTTATGTTTCAAATTATTCTAGTGGATATTTGGTGGAAATAATTGTAGATCTTGATGTAGTTTTTCGCTATTTATAGTGTTGTTTGGTAACTTTTTTTATTCATTATTGCATATTTTATGCTTGGTTGTTGTTATTACGTTTATTTGTGTTTATGTGTGGGGTCGTGATTTGTTCAATTGTTTATTATTTATTTAATTTACTTACTTATTTATTGGTTTGGATTAATTTCTTTTACTTATTGTTGTTTATTTTATTTGTTTACTTTTGTTTATTTTGTTTGCTTATTTGTTTATTTTTGTTTATTCTTGTTCGTTGTTAATTTCAGAAAAACTGCAACTGGATACGAATAAAAAATGAATATATCTATCTATCTATGTTCTTTTTATTTCTATCTATCTAACATTGATCTTTTATCTCTCTCTCTCAGTATATATATATATATATATATGTTACTTTTCAACCATCCAAATTTGTTCATTTTTCTTTGTCTATCAATCGTTGTACATTTCGTATGTATTTGTCTATCTATCTTGTTTCTTTCATTTGTATCTATCCATCTATCTATCTATCGACCCACCTACCTACCTATTTTGTACCTATTATTTTGTACCTATTATTTATGGATCTGTGTTGTTTACATTTGTAGCTATCTTTGTTCTTTTACATCGATCTACTTATCTTTGTTTTTTTTATATTTATCTTTATTCATTAATATCTATATTTTGTTAATCATTTCACCCCAAATGTATCTATCTTTGACCTTTTCATTTGTATGTATCGATCTTCTTTAGCATCAATAAATTTTTATTTATTCCTATCGATCCATCTATCAATATATATTTGTTATGGTATCTATATTTTATTTATCTTTGTTTTCTATTTATCTTTGGTCTTTTCATTTCTATCAATGTTATTCATTTAAATCTTTTTATCTGTCTATTATTTTCATTTTTATCTTTGTTCTTTTATAAACATCTTTATTCTGTTCATCCCCCCTCTCTCTCTATATATATATATATATATATATATATACGCACACAAATAAGAGACAGAACAGGTGAAATAAAACTCCACATTTCGTAGCATTTACTTTTTAAAAAATGTGGTCAATATAAAGTAGAGCAAAATAGTTAAATATTTTTATTATAATAGATTTTAATAAAAACATTTTGCATCACTACACAAACGTTTTCATGTTTGAAACATAAATGCTTTTTGTGTAGCGATGTAAAATGTTTTATTATAATCTATTATAATCAAAAAATAATATATATATATATATATATATATATATATATATATATATATATATATATATATATGTATATATATATATATGAAACTCTTTCATAATCTATCAAGCTATCTAATTATCTTTTTCAGTCTGTTCATATCTATCTATCTATCTATTCTTTTCATTTCTATAACAAAGTTAGATATAAAAGATCTATATATCTTTCTTCTATTTTTTCTGTCCATATCTATCTATCTATCTATCTATCTATTCTTTTCATTTGTATAACAAAAATAAATATAATAGATCTATGTATCTATCTTTGTTCTGTCCATATCTATATATCTATCTATCTGTCTAACACAATCTACTTATAAATAACTGTTTATCTTACAAGACTCCAAGCCAAGAAATAACATTTTACAAGCTTGGCTGGCTGACTGGCTGGCCACTGACTGATATATAGTTAGGCTGATCGTCATTATGTCTATGTTTTGAGGAGTCACCAATTGTGGTTTTCTGCTGTATTCACGTTAAGCTTCATACATATGTCTATTTATATACCCTTTAATTTACATTCCCCATTTTTGCTGACCGAACAACTGATATCTGAACCTGCGTAGGTCGCAAAAAAACGTTACGTGTCGGCTTGCATTTTATGTCTCTTCCACTTGCGTTGTTACGGCACGTCGACACCAAGGTTAAAATATCTCCTCAATGAATGATTCTTGCAATTCTAACTTTTACACAGGAGAAGTGTGAATACATCCTCCCTGACGTAAAGAATCCCAAAATAAAGTGCAGGTCGAGACGCACCTGCTTTTTTTTTTTTTTTTCGTTGTTTTTGTTTTCATTGTGTTTTTTTTTTCGTTGTTTTTTGTTTTTGTGTTTTTTTTTTTGTTATTAGAAGGTTTACGTGTGAGATATATATCTCAATTCAGATGTTGTCTAAAAGTCTTTGAAGAAACATCATTATTATTTGATTGATTGCTGGCTAATTTCAATTTTTGGGAAACAATTGAAATTATTTGAAATATAAATGTGAGAAACAACAATGGAAATTATTTATGACTCAATCTCATTGAGAAGAGATGTGAGCATACTGATTTATATATATTTAAATATATATATATATATATATATATATATATATATATATATATATATTCTTACATTTGTAATTAAGATACTATTAGTTAATGACCATTTTCATCTCTTTAACTTAATTAACTAATGGTATGTTAATTCGAATTTTAAGAAAAATTTTCTGTTTCATGAAAATAAACATTGAACGTTTTTGTGAGTCAGTTTTAACATTTAATATTTGAAATTTAAAATTCTATATTGTGTTAATAGGACTCTCGCTTGGATTATGCCAACGGATTTATATATATATATATATATATATATATATATATATATATATATATATATATATATATATATATATATATATATATATATATATATATATATATATATAGTACGTGGCAAAAAATATATATATAAATAAATAATAGAACTCGTTTGTTAATACACGGTATTAATACAGGGGTACATATTTACATTATACAAGTAAAAAATGATTTAATATTTTGTTGGATAAACTTTTGCTTTCATAACGGCCTTAATTTTTTGTGGCATGCTATAGACTAAATTCTTTATTAAGTCAATTTAATAATTGCAACTCTTCCAGTGGCCTAATCAGAGTCCTGATCTTAACCCAATTGAAAACTTGTGAACTTTAATGCACAAGCGTGTCCGTAATAGGAAAGTAAACACAGATGATGATCTTTTTCGGGAATTAAAGAAATACTAGAAAAATCGTGCGAATGACATTGAAAAACAATCAAACAGCAGGCCTAGTGATCAATTTAATATAATTCATTCACTTCTTGTCAGCGGAAAAACGTGAAACCAAGAAGAAATAAGTTGCTCTCCTGGTGGTTAGCATCATCCATTCTGTTTGCGGGGGGGGCAAAAAATACTTCTCTGTTATGATTAAAGGTTAGCAATTTCGTCTTGGAGGTGTTAAAATTCACAAGATAGATAGAGTGTGAGAGAAAGGGTGAAGAATGAAAGAGAGAAAGAAAGAGAGAAAGAGTGTGAGAGATAATTTGAGTGACCCGGAGATTGATTCATTATATTTCCCCCGCTTCATATGTGCAATAAACCTGATGTCAAGAAGTCACCATGAGTTGTTCTCCTGAAGGTTAGTATGTTGCCGGCATTTCTTTTTTTTTTTAAATATACAGTCCTGGCTTAAGGACATGGGGGTAGTATAAATGATATCGGTGCAAAACTTGAAATTGTCCAGCCTTGTTCAGATTTTGTTCGCTTTCGCACAATCGGAATAAATAACAGGGTAGACTGGGTTTTATAGACTTGAATGGTAGCCAGTCTAAGAGACGTATAATTCTGAGCCACAAACCGTGAAGAAAGCAGAGAGAAACTCCTAAAAAAATAATTCTGACCTCCTATGTCCTGAAACGGCAAGGTGGTTCGGGTTCTTCAGATTCCTGGCCCGAAGAAATGAAAATGTTGATGTGCCCTCTTCTTTGAGGTCAGTTCGCGATCATGAAATTCGTACCTTGTATCTCGACTCATCTTTACAAGAAAAACATTCCATCAAAAAACAAAAACAAAAAAAAAAAAATGGAGGAAGGTGTCTCCGACCGCGGCATCAATATCGTCTGCTTTCATTGCCTTAAGGGAGACATTGACCACCAATATAATTTCAAAGCACACATAAATAAATGTAAATAAAATCTCATAAAAAAAAAAAAGAAACAGTGAAAGCGGTTCTTTTAATAAAATACTTGTAATGTCTTATCAGTAAAATCTCCATCAAATGAAACTCATGTTGACTGACGATCTCTTGCGGGGAAACAAGCCTCTAAAACGAGTCAGGGAGAAAAGTGATAGTGACCGAAGTGAAGGTGACAGCCTAAAATAGAATTAGTTGTTATTTCTTCTTTTTTTAAGGATTGTATGGCCGAATGATGACCCCGACAATTCCAAGATCGTTGTCAGATGAAATACCAACATTCTGTTTGTCATGACTAGAAACTCAAAAACATTTATTAATTTCTACCCAAAGTATTTGGCTAAATGACTTACCATATTTGACGGCATATTAGGTGCATTTCTTTTACTAAAAATGTTTTTTAAAATTCCCCTGCATCCTATATGCCATATTTAGGTTTAAAATTCGCGATAGTTGGCCGAAATTATATACCTGCCAACTCCTATTAGCTGAGACTTTGGAGTAACATGGTATACCTATTGTCATTATTTAAAAAGCTATTATGCAGATCGTAAGTGTTATCATTGATAATATTCATTATATTAATTTTATCACGTTTAATATTAGTAATTTGTTTCACTAAAATTATATACAATAAATTCAACTTATATATTTGTAAAATATATTTGTTTCATTAATATTTTTCTTGTGATAACTTCCGGTTTCATTAGTAGAAATACAATCAGAATTTGTATATCCTAATTATTCCAATAAGACGTTTACAAGATGCATGTTGTACAGATCATATAAAAGATGTAATAAAGATTTTATAGGCTCATGTTCTTTTTTTTTTTTTCGTATTATTTTTCGTTTTTTTAGTTTTGTTTTTTTTTGTTGTTTTTTTTTACTAAAAACTATAGCTGGAAATTTTTAAAAATATAATATTTATATAAATATAATATTTATATAAATATAATTTTTTATACTTTCATAGTGTTTTGACCCCAGTTTAGGTTAACTATCCTAACAGGTGCTACCACCCCAGATTAAGGAGAACCTGGAAATACAGCAATTACGAAGTGGTTCCACACTCCACAAAACCTCCCCATCAGAGTCCTTGTTTCCGGATGTGGTTTATCGTCATACCCAGGACGTATTTGAACTCGTCTCGCTGATTTCACTTTGAATGTTGATATCGGTTATGCTACACGTAAACCCATGACGCGTAATCGTCTTCATTCATTTAAATTCTTAAGGTAAGTATTTTCTTTGATTTTTTTTTTTTTTTTGCCTAGTGTTTCTTTCTATATAATAAATGCGAATAATCAGCGCGTCATGTATCACACTCTTATCAATTAAAGGGACACTACTTTCTAACTTTCAATAGCTCATCTTCCTTCGATAGGACGACTTTTAGGGTAGTTAATAATATTCATCAATAAACAGAAAGATAAAAACACAGGAAATGGAAAATTAACAATATTAACAAAAATCTTTCGTCCAATAATTCTCAGTTGAGGGGCCACTTGAGTGCTAGGCGAGGAATTTCAGATCTAAAGGGATGATTTGAGGAAGAATTTTAATTATAGTTATAAGCAGTATCTCAGATAAAAAAAAGAGACTAAAACTCAAAATGGGGTAGAACTTTAAGAGTTACAAAGGCTTTTCCTAGTCCCCTAAAATATTGCAGAACATAAACGCCTCAGTAGTATTCATAATTTCTGGTGCCCTTGGAAAAATCCTGAAATAATTTGAGGATATATTATGAAAATTGAAAATCATCCAAGAAAGAATCAAAATAATCCAAACAGCAGCAGAATACAAAAGAGTGGGCTGAGACTATTGAAGAAGAATCTTGCTGTCACTTGACCTTCATTGAAAGCTGACAGATGTTACTTTTGTGAAACTCCAAAACATATGCATCAGAACTAATTACACAAGATAATAACAACAAAAATAATTATGCTCGCTGCCCGAGCAAATGTTGCAATTCTAGGCTAAATCAAGTCAGCTGATTCTGAATTTATAATCAGAATTTCCCGAGATCGTCAAGTTTTTGAGATATGCGCACAGCATACTTAACCCCAAAGTTAATATGACACCGATAATATATTATTAGTAAAGACTCTAGGACATTTATGGACCTTTGTTCCCGAAAAAAAACAAAAGAAAAACGGAGTGTCAAAAAGAGAGTTTTTTTTTTTCCGTTGACACCGTTATTATTTTACTCCTCGGCAATGCATACTGTTTTAAAAAAGGATGATTAGAATTTTAATAAAACCTTAACATATGAAAACGAAATTATGCATTTACTTTGTTCTTGAGAATTGACAACAAAATAACATTATACTTACAACATTCTAAAAACTAATAATATCGTATTAAAACTAATGCAATGAAATATTTATCATTTACCAATTTATAAATAATAATAATAATAATAATAATAATTGTATAAGCCACACAAAATCGAAACCAAGAGATGGTATGAGCAACAAGCAGGCACAGTTACCCAAAATAACAATAGCAGTATCATCTAAGATAAAAAAACTCCATGAAAATTATCAAGAAATTGTCCAAATCCAAGGACCTGGAGATCGAGATTAACAGGATAAGAGAATGAAGACTGAGAGTGTACCAATAGTTAGCGAATCTCTGGGCCTCGCGAGAAAAGGAATGGACAATTTTACTAACAGTGTCTCAGGTAACATCAACATACAAGTTGCCCAGAAAATCGCCCTAGTTGGAACATCCCATTTAGTAAGAAAAGTACTATCAATTATATGTCATTTCTCCTATAGGACCTAAACATAGTTTGGACCTGCATCTACAGGATACAAAGCAGGAAATATAATATACACAAATAATAATAATAATAATAATAACAATTAGAAATAATAGTGTCAAACAGGAATCCTATTTGAATTTTCTGATGAATCTTCAGTTAATGATTGAAGAAGCTTATGGCGAGTTGTACGATAACAGAATATACGTAGAAATTTCCCTGACATATCGTTAAATATTTGAGTATAACAACTTTAACCAAACATTGCAATAATAATCGTAAGTATGAATGCAGATCATTATGTTAAGAAGTAAGGGGGTACAAATGATAAGATTTTAAATTGACATCTTGTTTTTTCCTTCGCGTAAACAGACGTTAAACACTTCTATAGTCCTTGATTTCTTTCATTTATTTTCCCATTGAAACCAAGTAGCGTCTCTGATATCACTTTCCACTCGATCAAAAGGGAATAATCAGAAAAGCAGAAGAGCTTAAACTCTTTTATCTTCCCTTCTTTCTTTCTTTTTTCTTTCTTTCTTTCTTTCATTCTTTCTTTCTTTCTTTTTTCTTTCTTTCTTTCATTTTTCTTTCTTTCTTTTTTTTCTTTTTCATTCATTCATTCTTTCTTTTCTTTCTTTCTTTCTTTCTTTTCTTTCTTTCTTTCTTTCTTTCATTCATTCTTTCTTTCTTTTCTTTTTCTTTCTTCATTCATTCTTTCTTTCTTCCTTTCTTTCTTTCTTTCATTCTTTCATTCATTTTCTCATTGAAACCAATTACCGCCCATGATCTATCTGTTCTGTCTATTCACATGATGAAAACGGAATAGTTCATTTTTTTAGGTATTGGCAGGGCGTAACGGTCGTACTAACTAAGGAAGAGACAATAATAATAATAATAATAATAATAATAATAATAATAATAATAATAATAACATACAGTGAAAAATATGTAAACAGAAAGTGAACTACTTTCAAAGAGACGTCGGGAATTGATGTAAACATTTCTCAAAATCCCAAATGTGTGAGCGAGTTTGTATGACATGGGCAAAGCCTAAACCTTACACTGTTTCTGCCACTGTCTCTCTCTCTCTCTCTCTCTCTTTCTCTCTCTCTCTCTCTCTCTCTTTCCTTCCTCCTCTCTCTTTCTCTCCCTCTCTTTCACTCTTTTTATCTTTCTCTTTACTTCTTTTTTTCTTTCCGTCTTTCTTTATCTTTCTTCCTTTATCTCTCTTTCTCTTTCTCTCCCTTTCTTTTTTCTTTGTTTCTTTATATCTTTCTTTCTTTATCTTTTCCCCTCTCTCTCTCTCTTTCTTTCTTTCTTTTTTCTTTCTTTCTCTTTATCTCTCTCTTTCTCACTGACTCTTTCTTTTCCACCTCTCTTTCTCTTTCTTTTTCTTTCTTTCTTTCTTTCTTTCTTTCTTTCTTTCTTTCTTTCTTTCTCTCTCTTTTCTCTCTCTCTCTCTCTCCGTATTCGCGTGTGCAATCTTTAAAAAGATCTCTTTCCAATTTATTTATGGTATTGTTTGACTAAACCAAAAACCAAACTAGATATTTCCCGTCGGCAACTATATAAAGTTACTACAACAATAAACAGACTTAAGTTACATCTATTAACACTTTTTTTCCCCCGTACAACGCCCTACCCGACCCAGCTGTCGGTTCCAGGCGACGATCATAATCACCATCATCATCATCATTATTATTATGCAAGGGAAGAGAAGTCAAGGCTGTAACTGTCAGGAGTTTTGAAAGTCTAAAAAAATGACATTTATTATTAAGTTTATGCACAATAGTATACATAAAGATGTAGGTTACCTTAATCTTTTTCAATACGAAGAGAGAAACCTCCAATAAGACAATTGAGTGACACTAATCTTAATAATAAACTCAGTATTCGGTATCCGGCTTCTTACGACATTTTTTTTTACAGTAACGTTCACCCTTTACAAAATCTGCGGACCACTCGAGGTTATATTAGGAGGCCTATTATGTGTATAAGACTAGGAGATATCGGCTAACCCGAGCCATGAACAAATTAAGATTGTAGTGATCAGGGAAACATGCAGTTGGGAGTCTCTTCCAAGGGACAGTGGCTCGCGTAAGAAGCTGTTCGAGTGGAACGTCTCATCGATGGGATACGGAGGTAATCTGGGTGGTGTGTAAGTGGGCTGGCGTGTTCTTCCTGTGAAGTTTTGACTTGGCGGGACCAGGGAATATAGTTCGTCCGAGCACTTTTCGCGAAAGAAGCAGTAGAACAGCATTTAGACATTAACAGAAATGAAAACATTAATGGGCTAAATCTATTGTAATTAATGAAGGGCAAGCATTACTTTTTAATCGAGTGTCGCACATTTTTAAAAATCAAATTAAGCAAAGCATAACGTACGTGTTAAGTAAGAAGCGAAAGAATGATCGGAAATTTACTAATATTTTTCTTTCATTATTTAATTGAAATGATCTTACACTATTTACATTATTCGGACTATTGTTCTCATCTTTGTCGCCATATTTCTTACAACGTTCTGGCCTTTCAGTATCTATCTATATTTCTGAGATGAGGTATTATGTACATTATTTACAGTATTCGGACTATTGTCCTCATCTTTGTCGCCATATTTATTACAATGTTTCGGTCGTTGTACGCTCCGTCCTTTTTCAAGTGGGTGGAATGTCGAACTGAAACCTTTATTTCGCTCACTGGGGTAGACTGTTCTAGTTCCACGTGCCATATTTTTTATGGATGTCAGTTATCAGTTATCTCCTGTTAATTCTTCCTCTTCAAGTTCTCCACTGCCTTAACCGGATACTGAACTCACACTGTTTGTGTCCTCTCACTGGATCTAACCAACGCCTTTCTCCACTGTACTATGTGTCCTTGAGGACAATATCCGTTTAAGGCAGTGGAGAACTTGGAGAGGGGAATTAACAGATAATTGATAACTGATATCTATTAAAAACATAGCACGTGGAACTAGAACAGTCTACCCCAGTGAGCGAAATAAAGAGTTCAGTTCGACATTTCAACCACCTGAAGAAGGCTGGAGTGTACAATGGCCAAAACGTTGTAATAAATATGGCGACAAAGATGAGGACAATAGTCCGAATAATGTAAATAGTGTATATAATACCTAATCTCAGAAATATAGACAGATACTGAAAGGCCGAAACGTTGTAATATGGCGACAAAGATGAGGACAATAGTCCGAATAATGTAAATAGTGTACATAATCCCTCATCTCTGAAATATAGACAGATACTGAAAGGCCGAAACGTTGTAATAAATATGGCGACAAAGCTAAGGTCAATAGTCCGAATAATGTAAATAGTGTGCATAATACCTCATCTCAGAAATAAAGACAGATAAGATCTTAATATCTGGGAATTGATTCATAGATTGTAGGCTACAACTTGTCAACTTGAGTATCATAGAATTTTCTCTGATTCTAAGTGTTCATTACTGACTAGATTATTCTAGCCGTTCCCAAGAGACGTCCTTTCTACAAGAGGCTCACTAGGCAATCAGTGCCAAGTACTATTACTAAATCGTTTAAATGTCACAACTGATGTTTTGGAGAAGTGACAACAATACATTTTATTAGTTCGTGACCGATTAGAAAATTGAATACGAAATTTTACATGCTAAAATAATTGTTAGTCAAGTAAATAGTCTCCTTTATTTTTAACAAATGTTTGTTACGAGAAGGTTGTGATATAGTTTTCGACTGACTCTACAAGGCCAACTGCTTTTGTCATTTAAATTATTCTGTAAAACCGGAACAAATGAAAATCCAAAGAAGCCAAGTCAGGAGAATATAAGTGCTGGATGGTTTGTCATATAGAAAGAAAAGGACTAACTACCGACATTGAGGTTCGATCGTGACACTCTGGACTTAAGAATATATGCTTTCCGCCAGGTGTATAAATAGTGGTGTCAGGCTACTGACTGGGGTGATTATTGAGTGACTATTTAGTGGAACTATCCAGTCGAATTAGTGTGAATTTATTGTGCGTCGATGATTTGGGTTTTGATTTAGTATTTACCCGACGTTAAGCCGAGCCGCGCTACTAACAAGATATTCACTGAAATAGTTAATTATCTTTGCTTGACTTTTACTTCTTTGTTCTTGTTAAGTATTTATTTGCAGTTGTAATTAAATACTGTTTTTTTTAAAACATTCAAATCTTACACTATAGAATCCTAAAGACTTAAAATGAGAAAATTTGTGACGTAGGGTGGCCGTTAATGATTAATCACAAATTTCCCCATTTTAAGTCTTTAGGATTCTGCAAGATATGACTTACAACATGTCCTCTTGTGTTGCCATGGTGGGAAATGACAAGTTTTCGATTTGCCAAAATCGGCTGTTTTCTTGAAGCAAATTCTCTTCCAAAGGCAGGCGAATTATCGATTTTCAAAGTGTTAGCTATCTCTTCTGTTGGAATCTTCGGTTAATTCTCCACAAGCAAGCAGAGTGCCATCATCAACGTCGAAAGGTCGCCCGGAGCGTGGTTGATCGCTTAGGTTAAAATCAACTTGACGGAATCTGCCAAACCACTTTTTGTCTATCCAAAAAAAAACAAAAAAACTAGAGCACGATTCAAATAAACCTTGTGAGTGTTTATTTGTCGCAATGCCGACGCTTACTGCTTTCCGAAATTCAGGGCATAATATGGCGAAAGACTAACTTTTCCTCCTCTATCTTTAAGGCGTTCATTTGCGGACAAAACGTCAACATTCAACAACGTCTGGCTGGCAACTGAACGATGCGAGTTTTCAATCTAAAACACACCAGAAATCGTCACCAAAACAAACGCCAGTGTCAAGTTACGGTAATTTTATATTAACAATGAAAATCGGCACGAACTTTTCAAATGATCTTATAATTGTGCAAGGCGTTCGTCAGTCTTGGCGCGCGGCGGTCATGGATTTCTTTGCTAAGATCTTTGCAGTACTCATATGACTATGAACATATGAAAACATCTGCAATTAAGAAATGGGTTCATGTCTGTTCCAAAAGCATTAGTACGAATGTGAACAGAACCGACTAGACCGGAATTTTAAACTCAGCTCAAAAACCCCGCTATCGGTGACGATAACCATGATGCTACCATCGGCAACAACTAAATTAATGTTTCACCATTAACAATTAATTTTTTTTTTAATATTCTAAAATAAACTTTAGGAATAAAGTTAAAAGCTCTGATTTCTACTATATTGTGCACTTTTCCTCTACGGACAGAAATATTTATTTTGCTTTTGAACTAACGAATTTAAGGGATAGATTGAAGTGTATTAGATAACAAGTCGGCAGTGTTTACAAACAAGCCCAAATCTTTATCTGTCTACACAGTACAAAAGCAGTCGATGCTAGAATAATTATCACATTTTTACCACACCACTTTGAGATGTCACTTCATGTAATCATCGAAATCAATGAAACTTTTTTAAAAGTATTTAAAAAAAAATATGTGATATCAGAGGCTAGAAAAAACCCTAATAAATAAATACACTTGGTATTCATATCTAGATAGGTATGATCAAATAATACACCCGTGTGGAAATTAACTGAAACAACCGCTTTAGTTTCCTTTCTTTCATCATACGGCCAATTTTAGACCCACTGGAGTGACACGGTATAATCGATTTCTTTTTTCATTTTCTTTTTTTAGATTGAGATGATAATGAATCTTTTATTGTTATTATACATGCAATGTCTGTTCTTAACGCTTGCCTGAATTCACGACACCTTCCAATCGTTTTCTATCTGATTTTTATACTGCTTACAAGAAAATAATTAGTAATGCAATTCTAATGTAATATTATTTACAATGTATTATACCAAAATTCGCAATATAATTGTTTCATGACATTATTAGCAACGTATTTTCATTATACATGAAAAATGAAGATAAAAACAACTGGCTTCTAACTTTCAACATATTAAAAAAAAAACTAGTATCGATTCCTCTTCACTGACTAAAATCTAAATTTATTCCAGCCAAGATGAACGGTTGTACTCAGAACGAGGTTCCACGCTTTGAACATCAGTTGGATGTCAAGTTCAATCTAGACATAGATCGTTATACACCCTTGAGGAAATTAATTGAAACAATCGCTTTAGTTTCCTTTCTTTAACCATACGGCCAGTTATAGACCCACTGGAGTGACAGGATGTAATCGATTTCTATTTTTTTTTTCCTCAGATTAGATCATTTCCAATGGTGTGCAGTAATATGAATCTATTTACGGGGTTTATGATGAAAATTGTTTGGCCTTGAAAATATTGCGTCATCCGTGATTGCATCAGATTTTATCACGCCCAGTCACTATTGTCTTGACTGTCGATTAGTTGTCCTACGGCCATTGTCTACGATGCACGTTACTCCAATGAAGCGTACGGAAATTGTAACGCTGCACAAACACACTGGCATGCCTTACCGGTGAGCAAATCAAAGCACTATAGACTGGACCGGAAACTCTCCTGATTTAAATTCAATCGAGAGTCTGTGGTCAATCTTCAAGGAACGACT